AGAAGGACGACCCTTTCTTGACCAATCATTTGCCGTCCAGGACAGCAGGTTCGCCAGTTGTTGGACTGAATCTGACAGATGTTTGTAGTCGTTAAACGAGCCACTGTAGCAAAAAAAAAAACGGAGCGCCAAACTTTTTGTGTTACCTCTCCCAAAGATGTCACATTTGTTATTTGCAGCACACGGCAGATTCGTCCTTTTGGATTCTCCACTGCTGCAGCGCCATCTGTGGGTTGCCCGAGCAGCCGTGGAAGCGTTTAGAAGAGAGAGATCGATTTTAAGAGTCAAAAACCCACAAAATTGAACGAACGAAAACAAAGCGAGAGGCCGTTTAACGGATAAATTTCCTCATTTTGTCAGTGAGTCGGTGTGTTGAATCAAAGATCTCTTGTGCACGTTCTGTTTTTTCTACATCTGTGTTTTTTGGTAAGAACCCTCGGATTGCTGCCTCACTATTCTGTATATAGAGAAATACACACATTCACACTCACAACACAGAGCTTAAAGACATACTCTCATAATCTGCAACTGCATTATTTTGCATTTACTCTTTATTTTTCTGAACATGAAAGATATTAGCGTTATTACAGCAGTATATAGGTATGAATACTACTCAGTGGGGACGGGCTAAACAGACAGACGATGCAGATTTCGAGGGCTGCAGACCTCCCTGTACATCAGGATCAGCCATGAATTCTCAATGATGCCAAATGTTTTTTGAGCAGAGTACACCTTTTAATCTGTCTCTCTCTCTCTCTCTCTCTCTCTCTCTCTCTTCTCTTCTCTTCTCTTCTCTTCTCTGTCTCCTCCCCCATCTCTTTGTACATTTTTTCTATTTATTTAAAGCAGAAATATATGGATTGTATCAAGCATGGAAAGGCAAACAAATGTTACAGTTGACAAAAATCACAGGCTTTTATTTTACAGCAGTATATTTGTTTATTCTAGGGATCTGTTTTCTCTCTCTTTTTTTGGAAGAAATAAAAAGTCATTTTCCATTCCTAAACGATTGTCTTGTCTGTTTTTGAGTTTCAGTCTCAAATCACTTTTCAATCTGCAACGAGAGTCTACAAACCTTTTAAAGTCTCGGATGATAAAAATTCAAGGCCTTGAAATGGCAAACAGTGTGTCTTCCGACTTTTAATTATATCGCCAGAGGGCTTGAAAATGTTTTCTTAATTTAGCCTCTTTTCTAGTGAAACCTCAACCCATGTTTTAACTGATCCAATATGTATTTCACCAGGTTTTATATTTTATTACAGTGTGTTTACTCTAATTGGCACGTTCTACAGTCCCTGTTTATACTGGAGAAATTGGCTGCTTACCACAGTTGTCCTCAGTCAGCAACTCCAGCCCAAAGGCACACTGATGGTATTAGAATGAGCAGAGTTTGCTAATATTGCACTGGGGTTTTAAAACAGTGAATTTAGTCACAAGACTAATTAAATTTAACTTTTATTATCGAAAGACTGGAATTAATTTGGTTTGAAGAAACAAATAAAACGACAGAAAAAAATCAATTAAAGGAATAAAACAAAAACGTTGTGCATCGTCTCTAAATACCATACAAATACCACAGTAATAAGTAAAGTAATTGAGAATGTGTGACAGTAATTCAACTGTTATTAGATCAACAGTGATGTTAAAGGTTGTTACAAACCAGATTTTAAAGGTGCTAGATGTGGCATTTTAACAGCAAATCACTGATAAATGTATTTCTTGAGTATTTATTGTCTGTAAGACAAATTGATTAGTGGGAAGGATTCTCTGCTCTGTATTATACTTTGTTGGATTCAGGGACCTCGAACCCTCCGCCTGCTTTTTAATGTCACCCATCACCATGTACCTGAATCATGTAAAATAACGCCAGCCCGACCTGTTGGACAGATTAATGCCACAACAGGAAGAGGGCGCTGTTTTTCAAGAGCAAACAGAGCTTCAGTTTTTCCAAATTGATGACACACCGTCCACTTGTGAATGTCTTGTTTTCCTAACTTGATACCTACATAGCACGTACACTGCTCTGACTTATTCCTCTTAATAGAGCTGCTGCTGTAGCTTTTAAAGTAGGCAGGAGTAATATTGAAAGTTCTTAAATCATGTAGGAATGTGTCATCAGTGATGTAGGCTAACGTAGCACAAAGGTGTTTTATAAATTGTGTTTTTGTAGTTTTGTACCGAAACATCTTTCATCCTGGGCGCAGGGAGACAAATTGCAGCGACTGCAGGTGGTTCGACAATAAATTATTCACTAAAGACAAAACACTGCTGTTTGTCAGGCACTGTGCATTTTGAGTGATATATTTTCTTCCCAAGCCCCATTCAGTCAAAAAACCCTGAAATACGACCAAATACATCACCTCTGGCGTCCGTGAGAGCCTCTTGATGTGATTGTGGAACAAATGTACACAAACAGTTTCATTATTCAGAGCTCAGTGGGAAGTCAGGAGGTGGGAACCTGCTTTTTAATCCCTCACCGTGGGAGAGACGTATTGTTCCAGCAACAGACAAAAATCAAACCAGGCTGTCTTTCAGATCAACAAGCAGGGATATACCGGTACGTATACTACACATGTGTATATAAAAACAACAGTATATGTATTGGAAATAAGTTGTAATTGTACGTTTTAGTTTGGTGAAGTTTTCCCACTGTTATGGGGAAATTTATAGGTGGTACTGTATAATTAACAGCTTTTGTTCCAGGTAAAACTGCGTCATACAATTATATTTTAGTGAACCTTTAAAGGATCAATTGGCAGAAATTGAAAATAATATTCATAGGTATGTTTTCATTAGTGTTTAATCACCTTAAAATGAGAATGGTTTTATTACCTTAGAATGAGCCGTTTTTTACCACAGAGGAAGCAGGTCCTCTTCTACGGAGTCTAGATAGGGCCTTTCACAGCCACCGTAGTTTCTCCTTCACATTTGGAAGGCTCAGCTGTATTCAACTGATTGCAATCTGCTACTTCACTGCTAGATGCCACCAGATGTCGGAAGTGATGAAATACAAATATTTTCTTACTGTAGTTTTCGTACTTTCTACTCCTCGCGTTTTCAAAAACAGGCTCATTACTTCCGTTTTAATGCCTTATCTTTTTCCAAGATCCAAGTTTCAGTTTGTACAGAAACAGCTGGTAGAAACGTCCTTCAGAGAAACCAAAAGACTACTCTTACACCATGCGTACTATTCGTATCTGTACTTCTACTTGAGTTAAGACTTCACTGAATCCTGCCCACTGGTCCTTTAACTTTTTGGAAAGACTTTTAGCATGGCCTTTTCCTGTTTATCCTAACACTAGCTCTCTGCTCCAAGCCGAGTCTGTGAAGAAATTGTTTTCCCAGTTTGCTTTGGAAGAACTTCACTAGTCTGCACAGAGCCCTGATCTCCAGCCAGGAATTATCAGCCAGCATCAGTGTTTCACCTCACTGATGCTCTTGGTGGCTGAATGGGAGCGAATCCCTGCAGCCAGGTTGCAGAATCTGGTGGAAAGCCAGAAAGCCGGGAGAGTAGAGGCCGTTATATCAGCAGATTAATGCAGATGGTTTGAGAATGAGATGTCAACAATCACACATGGGGGTGACATTCAGGTGTCCGCATGCTTTTGGGTTATATAGTGTAATTTACCGAGACAAAGAAAACATTCTATATTTAGAAAGTCTAAATGCTTTGTTCAGTTTTGATGCAAAAGATGATATGTTTTATGTTGTGTATAAACTGTAATTTCACATTGTGTTTAATTAGTTTTTATGCACATCAGTCTTCACCAATATGCTGCTACAGTCCAAATAAAGTCATAAAATTAAACTGTTCACCAGCGTATTTTATATTTACCCCTAGGGTTTGAATTGGCAAGAATCTCATGATTCGTACGTGGTACTACAATTCAATATATTGTTTTACTGTAAGCAAGGTGATGCATTGCTATGTTTTTAATTATCTAATTTTAGGGAAACTGTCATAGCATAAAGAACACACCACTATGTGTACATGAGTAAAAAAAGGTTTTTTTTATCCAATCGGAACAGTTGGATCTGCATTTGTATTTATAAAAAGGCCCAACCTTCAACAGCATAGCCCTCAGTTAATGTTTATATAAGAATCTTTGTAATACAGTGTTTTTGAGAATGGAAGACAAAACCTTTAAGTGCATTTTAAAAGACACTGTGAATTTGGAAAAACGTAGCAGAAATCCAGTTCCTCCAGGAAGTAGCGATGGCAACAATTCACTAAAACTCAACCAATCTCCCCGTGAAATCCTGTGCAACCTTGCAATATTGTTCAATCACACTGAGCCAAAAAGTCACCAAACTCACTTCCTTGTTTCTAGTTGTGAAGCTGCAGACCATTACCCCGTCCTTACAGTGCCACGGTGTTCTCCCTGGAACAAGTTTCTTCTGGTTTTTAATGAATTCTACAAATTACGCAATTTCATTGCAAAGAGATGTCTACAAACATCGCAAATCTTTAGACAGCCAGGCATTTCAGGTCGCAACGATCCCATAAAAGCCTGAAAGATCCTGGATAGAATGGAAACAAGTGGAAAGCAGACACAGATCTTAATTTCTCTTCACTGAGTGGAGGCTGTTGTTAGATGTTCAGGAATCACGTGGGTGTAATATTTGCATGTCAGTACTTACAAAATAATTTAGTTCTCCTTAGTGGGCCACAATCAGGCTTTTCCCTTAAAAAACAAAAACAAAAAATGAGACTGCAAATGCTGGACTTGGCTAAATATTCAACAGGTTTATACCAACAACACAGGCTGCGTCTCCTGGGAAAATAAAGCCATGATTTGGATCCAGTGGCTGCAGTGGATCCGGTAAGAGAAAGTGACAGAAATTCAGGAGTTGTCAGTCCCATTGTGATGGCTGCCAGGCCACAGCAGGCCTGTTTGTGACAGCCGACGCTCAGCAGGAGGAATATCAACCCCCACCTTCAGATAAGTTTTGACAGCTGTAAATTGAGAGAGGGAAGAGAGGGAGGAAGGGAGGTGAGCTGCTATTTTTATCTTTCATTCAGCCAGGCCCAGACCAACTAGCCCCTCTCTGGACTTCTCCTTTCTAGCTGACCGCAGAAGCTTCTGGAGGTCTGACCGCAGCATTAAGACCAGGAGAGACAGCCAGGGCTGGGGGGAAAGATATCTGAACGAGAGACAAAGGAACCCAGTGAAGGAGAGATCACACAAACCCAACAGGCCAACATGGCGCTGCTGTGCTACAACAAAGGCTGTGGGGTGAAGTATGACGCTGACAAGAACAAGGACGGTAAGATCCTGTCTGTGTCTGTGATTTTAATCCAAACACCCCAGTCTGGGTCTGTTGGTTTGTTTAATATTTTGTTCATCAAGAACGTGAAGCCTCGGTGGAAGTCAGTCTGTGTGAAATGAAGAATGTGAGCCTGTTCTTACGGTGTTATTAGGGGCTGGTGGTGTGTAGATCTGCTTTGATTTTCTTGGATGAGGTTCAGTTTACTACTTTTTTGTAATGTAATCTGAGGTAAAAGAGCAAATTCAAAACCTGTAACAGTTCAAAAATACATCACCTGCAAGCTTTAGGACTATGTTTCCTTAAATCCTGAAAAAGTTTGGGTTTATGTCTGCTTTTATTTTGAAAGTATGCTCCTGTGTTAGATTTATTGCTGTTTCTTGGTCTTAATATACAAATAACGGTAAAGTTTGGGTTCAAATTTGACAAATTCATGACTAAAAGACAAGACAGTGCAAGTCAAGTGTTCAAACCTTTAGGTTCAAACCTTTACCGAACACAACAGGTGGATAAGAAACCAGATTTTTTTTGGTCCTGATTTCCTGGCAAACGCTGGACAAGTTGGCTTGTGTCTGAGCTAGCCTAGCATGTATCGTAGGACACGTGTCTCTGGAAGCATGAGACAGCTATCTCTCTAGCAACCCACTTCCTTTTATGGGACACCTCTCAACTCTAGTGACCCCCATGGACAGCTGGTGCACCCTGCTGACTGTGTGTGTGTGTGTCTATATACAGACTGACAATGTGTCTTTCTTTTTCGCGGTAAAGATTCCTGTGTCTTCCATCCAGGAGTCCCCATCTTCCACGATGCTCTCAAGGTTAAAAACTGATAAATAAGTACACAAATAAACAATAAAACATTTTTTATTTAGCTGGACGAAACTCATGTGTGTGTGTGTGTTTGTGTGTCTTTCTCCAGGGTTGGTCCTGTTGTAGGAAAAGGACGACAGACTTCTCAGAGTTTCTCTCCATCAAGGTAACAGCTGCTCAGGGTCGAACGATCTGCAGAAAACTGGAGATCCTGTAAATCTTTGTGGTTGGTTGGAGCAGAGCTTCTATTAGTGTATAAATGACATATAATTATTAATAATATTCAGGGTATTAAGTAGCAGTAAAGCTTTGTGATGCCTCTATATGACCTATGTAAACAAACATGACCATGAGCGAGCAGTTTTTGCCTATTATCAGATAAACTGAATGAGTAAATGTAATGGAGTAAAAAGCACAATATTTGCCTCTGAACTGTAGTGGAGTAGAAGTATAAAGTACGTTTACTTAGAATACTTTAAGTAGATGTTCCTGATTATACTTACTTAAAGCCTCTACAAGGAACTAATTGTGTGTGTGGCCCCCTATGGGCTTTTAATTTAATTGAATTCAATGGGAAACGACCTGGTGGCTGGCATTAAGAATAACGATAGAGAAATAGCCAATCTTCTCACTGATGGTCTTCTGTAGACCTTACAGAGGCATCAGTGTTAAGAGATTGTTCCATAACCAGTTAAAGACTGCTTGTATTAGGTTTTCAGTGCAGGACTTTAACCTGTGACACTTTGTGGCGTTAGTACTAAACACACAGATACTAAAATGAGAAGAGCGTTACTATCTGAAGTTTCAGATCCTGTGCATTATCTTCCTTTAAAACCAGACTGATGTGACCCCTCTGCTTTGAACTCAGGGCTGCACCCGCGGGCGCCACAGCAACGAGAAGCCCCAGGAGCCTTTGCGGCCGGAGGTGTCATCAGATAAGGGCGAGATTAAACACACCAACGGCCCAGAGATAATCTACCAGGGGCCCAAATCTGCTGAGAAACTGCAGAAAGAGCGACCCAGGTGTGTGTTTGTACGATAACTGGTGTTATTCTGCAGTAGCTCACAGAGGCCAGGACTCATTTAAACCATGGATCAGCCTGCTCGCTGGTGCTGATGATGCCTCTGTGTGTTAATATTTTGTGGTAACATCAATGTGTGTGTGTGTGTGTGTGTGGTGTGTGTTGTGTGTGTGTGTGTTGTGTGTGTGTGTGTGTGCAGCTCAGACGAGCCCAAGACCAAGATGCCCCACAAAGTGTCGGCGTCGCTGGCTCAGGCGCTGGAGAAACTGGACCTCAGCAAGAAAGTGGAGAACGAGAACAGAGGTCAGTGTTTGATAGAGTGAAAGGACGTATTGTTTCATTTTAAAATCAACTAAAACATAGTTATCTAAAGAAATAAGTGAGAAAATCTTACAAAATTTTATTATAAAATTCATATTTATACTTAAAAACAGAAGGCAGGTTGCAGCACTTGAATCAAGAAAACAAACGTTATAATAAAATACTTGAAACAGGTTGAAATATTTATTCTTTTTGAAATTGTTAAACTTTAAAGACACTGTAATTAGAGTTCATTCACAAAAAATACTTAATGAGCACCTTTTCTGCATTTGTAGAACATTTCTGACTAAATGTGTGTTTCTTTAAGTGTGTTATGTTTTTTAGTTTCCAACACAAATCAGCTCGTCTCAAGAGATTTCTGAAGTCTGTCTGAGAGTCTGTATTTAAGAATAGAAATCAATAAATGTTGAACTTTATGTTAGAGAATACTTGAGCCTAGTTTATTTGTATTGGGAACAAGTTGAAATGTTCATACTGCAGTTAACGTTTTAAGAAATTGAATCTTATTAGACTCAAATAAACAAAGTAGGATTTTTGCAGATGTCTGTAGACATTACTCCGTGTATAATTACATGTTTTTATGTGCATTTCTGCTTATATTTCTGTTTTTTAATCCACTTCTGCTTAGGAGTAAACGTGTGTTTGTGTAAGTTTGATGTATAATCAAACAACAGCTTGTATTTTTGTACATTTCTGTGTTAGAATTGTGTCCATAAGCCTTATTTTCTTAAAACAAATGTAAAAAAAGACTATTTCCACCTGTTTTCAATGTAAATGACATAAATTTGCACTGGAAAGATGCTGAGATATTCTTACTATAACCTGCTGGTTGAGTTTCTCACTTGTTTTTTTAAGAAAATAGCTGACTTCATAAGAAAGACATATTCGACATAGTTGCGATTTGCTTATCCCACCTCTCTGTTTGTCTCTTCTTCCTCCTCCGACAGAGAGTCAGACAGTCATGCCAGGGACTCGATGCAAGAACGCAGGATGCAAAACAGTGGGTGTCCTCTTTATTATCTGAGTGTTTGTTTGTAGGCAACTTCTGTGGCCCAAAATAGTCGACTATCTGACATCAGCAAAAGCTGACAAATTCATCATCTACACCGATGGCAGCTGCACACACACACACACAGGAAACACAGCACACACACAGCACACACACAACACAAACACACACACACACACACACCGACACACACACACAGAGAGAGCTCTGTAATGTAGCTGTGCTTCAGTTTGAGTTCAGTTTATATTTCCTGTATTTGTAATGCTTATTGACAGCTCCATCTAGTGGACAAGACAGGTAATAACAGATGTTTACTTTTTAAACCTGTTCTGGCTCCATTACCTCCTATTTTAGTATGTCCCAAAATTCAGTGGTAAATAACTACATTTACTCAATTATTGTACTTAAATACACATTTAAGATACTCTACTACATTTCAGAATGAAATACAGTCATATTTAACTCCACTAAATGTATTTGGCAGCTGTTGTTATTTGTTACTTTGCAGATTAAACATTTTAAATACATGCAGTGTATGATCATCTTGTAAAATATGATGCGTGGTTATAGTTTAAACAACCCAACAACAGTATGTAATGTAGTTAAAATTAGCAAATTGATTGATTATATTATTTGGCCACAGCCCTAAGTAACAGAAAATGTATCTTCTAGAGAGTTAAAGTGTTGCACATACAATTAACA